GGTAAAATGTGCTTATTTTTGAGTTTGCATACCTTCTCATTTGTTTATCACTTTTGCCTAGTTACATCTAGTCATCTTTAATGCTAAATGCTTTTCAGTGATTAGTATGTTAAGTTCTTGATATAAATTTCATGACTATACAATGCTAGGGTGTTTTTCACAAGCTCTAATTTTATATTTATTGCCACAATATGTTTTATTTAGAACAAAACATTAAAGCACAACAGTAGTGAGAAACTGTAATTATCAGGCTCTGGGTCCTAGTCATGATCAATATTTCTACTTGATATGGTAAAGAAGATTTTTAAAGATGCATGAATGCCAACTACAAGAAAGACCAAGAAATAACGCATTCTGTTTTTCATCATTCTGAGAATTAATGGCCCTTTTAGGAGTATGTCTCTGATGACTGTACCGTCAGCTCAAGGCTTCATTCTCAGAAAGGAACAAAGACATGTCAGAGTATCTGCCCCAATTTAAACCCAATTGCTTTGTGGAGTCCTAGGTCCCCTTGGAAATTTCTCAGAAAACACTGTGGCTACTGGCTATTTTAATTTTGCTTACCGAGGCTGTGATCTTAGCTTCTGATAGGCAAGGTCGTTGCCTGGCCGGGAGGGACATGTTATAGCATTATGTCCACTTTGTGCTTGTAATGATGTGAAATCTGAGGCTGAGAATAATGCCCTGTATTTGCCAAGAGGGCTCTCTCACTTGGGGCTGGGTGCACTTGCTCTATTCTTGGAGATTATCCATTTCATACTTACCCAAAGCCCAGATTATTCTAAATGCCTCAGTATTTGCTTATCCTAAGAGCCCCTGAAGCTTTCTGATCCACCATGCTGGTGGTATGTTCGCCATCCAGAGCTGTTTAGTCCTTCTGGGTGGATCAGGTCCCTTTCCTATGTAGCCAGAAAGCCTCCATCCTAGTCCCTGGACACATGCCTCATCCCTAATGTGCTCAGGCTCATCAGGTCAAATCTCAGACAAATGTCATGTAGAAAATTAGTGAGTGGTGTGGGTGAATCAGTGTCAATCTACCTGTTAGGAAAAAAAAA